CTAACCTAGGTTACTGTAGATTCAGAGTAGGGAGGTGAAGGGAGCATGGGGGAGAAAGTTACCTGAAACTACCTCCTCCCCAACATAAGATTAGGGATTCTCTCATAATATACATTTCTATAGTACTTTGAAGTTCATAAAGTGTCTTCCTGCCAACAACCCTGTGTGGCAGGTAGTATAAATATAATTATTCCCCTTTCACAAATAAGGAAACGAAGTATGTAAGAGGTGAGATGGCTTGCTCAAGGTTACACAGCTATTTACTGGCCGAAGCCAAGATACAAACACCCAGCTCCAAATTCAGTGCTCTTTCCAGTGCGCTAGGACACTAATAATAAGCTTAAGTGGTCCAGAAGAAGCTGGCCAGGATGACGAAGGAACTGGAAATAATTCCACAGAAGAATGGTTGGAAGGAATTGTTTTTGTTTTTCAGCTTGGAAATGACTTGATGGGGGTAGGAACGGGATATTGGGAGCAGAAGGGAAGAAGAAAAGACATGGTAGCCACATTCAAATATTTGAAGGGAAGTCACAGGGAAAAGGGATTAAACATGTTTTGCCTGCTCTCACAAGGCAGAATTAGGAGCAATGGGTAGAAGTAGTAGAGACAGATTTCAGCTCAATGTCAAGGAAAACAGATACTCTCTCACTTTTTATTATATTTATTCTAATAGTATCAAAGATGATTTAAGCAATAAAAACTAAAGAAGGGATTAGGGGTGATATTCCTTTTTACTTGATGGCTAATTTATGGCTTTAAGTGAACATGTCACTTCGACACTTTGTAGGAGAACTGGTATCTGTATGGAGGCCACTGGGAATTAAGAATGAGGATGGGTTTTGAAGTCAACTTTTATATGTGGAGATGGGTAATGGTTGTGATGAGTGGTGTAAAGGTAATTGTGTGTGCATGTATGTTCATTCCTATTATGTCAAGAGGTGAGAGTGGCATGTACACTGTAAGCTGTTTGTGTTCAGGGGTCAAGACATGTTTAGAGGTAAAGGTCATGTGCATATGCATGTGCACGTGCAGGGGTGTGTGTGTGTGTGTGTGTGTGTGTGTGTGTGTGTGTGTGTATGCAGCGAAGGGGCTAGACTGTATAGACAGTGTTATGTGGGGAAGTTATGAGGTCAGTCTGTATGTGGGGAGAGTTGGCATATGGGCTCAGATTGGGGAAGTAGTCTCTATTTGGGGTGATTAGAAGGTAAGAGGATGTAGATGTTGTGTGAGAGGGGATCACTGGGTATATGGGGGCAGTGTGAGTACTATATGTAGAGGTCAGCATATGTGAATGGTTGTTATATGGGGGAATGAGTGGGAGTGGGTCAGTGTCCAGTGTACAGAATGTGGGGCGAGTCAGTGTAATTGCAGGTCAATTTTTGTGGGTAGGCATGGGTATATGGTATGTGGGAGGAGTCCGCATGTGTGGGTAATTGATATATTTGTTTGGGTCAGGATATATGAGGAGTATGCATGTATGTGGGACAATGATGTATATGAGGGCGAGTGTATGTGGGAGGCATTGGTGTGCTGTGGGTCAGCTGGTAGGGGTGGTTAGTGTACTTGTCAGCAGATAGACAGGACTGTGTATGAAGGCAGTGTAAATGGAGGGGGAGGGTAGAGCTGTTGGAGTATAAATATAGGCTCAATGTGGGTATGGGTTGGTATACATATGGGGGATATGAGTATGTGTGTGGTGGGTCTATGTACAGGCAGGACATTGGTTTGTAGAGAGGATCAGAACTTCAAATCGAAAAGGGAGGGCCTAGAGGAAGAAAACTGACAGAGGAAGTAACTACAGCGTAGCAACTGAGATATATCCAAATTCACAGGACACAAAAATATAAGAAAAGGGCCAGTGGTAAAACCAGTGACTTCAAATGTCTATACAAAAATGCACAAAATTTAGGTAACAAACAAGATGAACTACAGGATTCAGAAGAAGGATAGGTAGGATCCCATGGGAGAAATTTTTCAGCCAGAAAGGGATGGGAAATTCTCAAGAATGAAATTAAGACAAAAAGGAAAACAATTACAACGAGGAGGAAAATGGTAGTTGTCCAACAGTTGTCATTTTAGTGTCAGTTGTCTGACGCTAATGTAGATATACAGAAAACTCAATAAGCAATTTGTATTTTAAAAACATACATACAGAGAAGATGGAAGCAAGGATAGAGAAACAGAGATACATACAAAATCATGAAATGGTGGTGTAAGAATAGTGTCAGGGGGTGCTAAGGCTCAGAATGAACTGAGGCTGATCAAGTTAGCTAAGGAGAACAAAAAGGGTTTCATTTTGTTTTTTCTTAAAGCTATATTGAGGAAAAGAGGAAATTCTGAGAAGAGGGTATAAGACTGCTGTTCAGGCTGGATGGAACAACAATAACTGACAACTGAGAAAGAAGAGAGCTTCTCAAGTCCATCTTGCTTCTGTTTTCTCTGCCAAGTAGAATGACCTGTAGACTAGAATGGATGAAACAAAATGGCTAATAGGGAGTTAATACCCAATGTAAGTAAAGAGACAGAAAAAGAACACCTCGATGCTCTCAGTGAATTCAGGTCACCTGGCCCAGAAGATTATCTCCAAGGAAATCAAAGAAGCAGCAGATATTATTGCTGAGCAACTGTCAGTGATGTGTACAAAGATCACAGAGAACAGGAGAGTCGAAGGGCAAATGTTCTGATTCTTCAAAAAAAAAAAGGGAGAATAAAATTTGCAAACTATAGATCAGTAAGTCTGATTTTAATTCTTAAAAATGTTCTAGAATAAACTATTAAACAGATACTTAGTGGATATTTAGTAATGTAGGCTGTGATCACAAAGAAACAGCAAGATTTCACTCAGAACAAGTCAGGGCAGAGTAACCTTACTTCCTTTTTTGACAAGGTTACTAGGCTAGTAGAAGAGGAAGATGCTATATAGTTTACCTGGAAATTAGCAAAGTATTTGATAAAGCCTCTCATACTGTACTTTTTTTTCCAATTAATACATTTATTAATTTTTAGTTTTCAACAATCACTTAGGATTATGAGTTTTAAATTTTCTCCCCATCTCTCCCCTCCCCCTACTCCAAGACAGCATGTAAATTGATATAGGACTCTCACGCTATTCTTGTGGACAAGATAGTGAGATCTTCTGTTTGGCTTTCAAAGGCCTTCATAATCTGATCCTTTCCTATCTTTCCAGTCTTCTTACACCTTACTCCCCCTCACTTATTCTGCAATCCAGGAACATTAACTTACTTGCTAATTCTTGCACATGACACTCTCATCTCCCCATTCCAGCAATTTCACTGGCTATGCTTGGTGCCTGGAATGATCTTCCTCCTCATCTCTCCTAGCTAACTTCCCTGGCTTCTTTCAAGTCCCAGTTAAAGTCCTCTCTTCTGCAAAGAGCCTTTCCCAGTCCTTAATCATTGTGCTTTCTACCTGGGATTACTCCCCGTTTGTCTTGTATATATCTTATTTACACATCATTGCTTGTGGGTTGTCTTCTCATCATACTGTGAGCCTGAGAGCAGGGACTGTTTTTTGTCTTTCTTTGTTATCTCCAGAACTTAACATGGTGCCTAGCAAATAGCAGGTGCTTAATAAATGCTAGGTGACTGTGTGATATGGTAGCCATAAAAGCTATTTTTATCTTGGATCCCATCAAGAAGCATGGTCAGATGATATCTAGAGTACTGAGTTCAGTTCTGGACTCACAGCTTAACTTGGTAACTTGTGCAGTTCTCCTCGAGAATGGCAACTAGAATGGCCAAAAAAAAAAGCCTTCAATGCAGATTTCATGAGGACCAGTTGAAGGACTTGGGGGTGTTTAGCCTGGAGAAGAGAAAACTTAAGGAATGACATAATACCTGCCCAAGTATTTGAAGTGACACCACGTAGAAGGATAACACTTGTTCTCTTTGGCCCCCATAAGGCAAAAAGCAGAAGCAGTAGGGAGGACACAGGTTTAGGCCGAATGTGAAGGTGGGTGTGAAATTTACTAACAATAAAAGCTATTCCAGAGCCGAATGCACTGCCTCCTAGATCTGGTGTTGGAAGGCATTTCAGACACTTCATCCAATCCCTTTATTTTACATATGATGAAACTGAGGCCAAGAGAGATTGTGACTTGCCCAAGGTCGCAAGGGTAGCAAGCAACATTTGAACCAGCTCTACAGACACAAGATTGACAGTGCTCTTTCCATTTCCACTTCCTACTTTTTCCATTTTCCACCTTTAAGCAGAAGCTGGATCACATTTACGAAGTACATGGTGAAGCGTTTTCTTTTACTCTGGTCTGAAGTACTGTGTTTCAGTGCACAGAATTAGAGCAGGAGTGAAGGGCAAAGAGTCGTGTACGTGTGTGTGTGGGGGTAATTCAGTGCCCAAAGTTAGGTGGGAATGAGCTCTGTGTGTGCATGTAGCGTGAGTGTGTGTGTGCGTGTTTAGAGGCATGTTTGTTTCACCCCCCCCTTCCCCACCACGAGTGCGCCGGCCCCTCCTCCTCCACTCAGCCCGCCCCGGTTCCACCCCCACTAGGGCCATCAACCCGGCCTCCCACTCAGTAGGAGGTGACCAGCCCTCTGGTGGGGTGAGACCGGCAGCCCCGTCCGGCCCCCGACCCCGATTCAGATCTTGCTAGATCACACCTTCCTCCGAGCTGGTAGAGCCAGGCGCGCTCCCGACGTACCCCAGAGCGTGCGCGCATGTGCGCTCTCCGACCCTTACTCCTTGCCCCAACGGGTCTCTCTGCCCCTCCCCGTCCGTCCTCCTCTCCCCGCCCCTCCCCGCTGTGTACGTGTATGGTGTTGCCGGGTGTGTGAGTGTGGGTATGGGTGGACGTGAGAACTAACGCGTCCGGTCCGCCTTCTCTCTGATAAATCCCTACCAGCCCCGCCCCCAGTCCCGCCCCCTCTTCCCTCCCACCCCCACCGCACTTCTCTCGGCTTCCCCGCCTCCCTCATTCTCTCCTGCCGGAAGTGCCTGGAAGAGCTTCCGGGTGGGCGCGGGTCTGAGGCAGCGGCGGCGGCGGCGGCTGCTGCTGGGGCGGTTGGAGGGGCAGCGGGGCCAAGCTGGGGCCAATTGCCAACGGCTTGAGGCGGAGGAGGGCGAGGGAAAGGCTGCCACGGGGCGAGGGAGCGATGTAAGAGGCCAACGCCCAGGTGAGGCCCGCTGGTCGGGTCGAGGGACGGGACCCCAAGATCCAGCCCTGCCGAGGCCTGGCCCGGCAGGAGTCGGTTGGAAGTTGGCTCGAGGCCCGGCCTGGGGTGGGTGTGGGTGTTGGGGCATGGGCTTGTCCCTGCGCCGGCCTTTGTGGCCGCCACTCTGCCGCGGACGCGGAGCCCAAGGTCCTGGCGGCGCCTGGCCCGGCTCGGCGGGGCTTGTTTGGGGGGAACGGAGCTGCCTCCCTCCGGTGGGGCAGGGGCTGGGTGAGTCTGGGGCCCTCAGCGGCCCGAGAGCCTGTTGACTCAGCGGCCCTGACTCACCGGGGCCTTCCCCCGCCGCGGCCTCTGTACACAGGCAGCCCAGGGTGGAGGTGAGAGCGCTGAGGCTTCCATTTGGGGCTGTCACTGATTCGGCGTGTGACCTTGTTCAAGTCACTTGCAATCTTAGCAACTTGGTTTCATTTATAAACAAAAAGTAGTTAAGATCGTCTCTGAGGTTCCTTACATCCTTAACGTTCGGTGATTGTCGTTTTGTGTGAGTTGTGTGATCGTATGTTTGTGCATGTGTGCAGTGTACTTGCTTGTGAACGATATGTAGCGTTTGTGCCTGTGTGTGCAACGTTTGTATGGGCATTTTTCTTACATGGTAGAAGTTGCGGTGGATTTGGAATCAGAAGACTTAAGTTCAGGTCCCACCTTCGCTTATTACTCCCGTATCTGAGCTTGGGCAGATCAATCCTTTTACTTGCTTGGTTCCCAGTTTCCTCATCTGTAAATTAAGAGAGTTTGGCTAGGTGTTCTCCAAGGCCCAACTTTTGCTGCCGTGTGGAGGAGTCTCTTCCCACTAATGAAATACATAAAGGGGAAGGGCCAGTTCAGAACTTCTGACCAGGAGAGCTTCATTTCGTGACACAAAATAGCTCTGTAGATACATAGGATGATGAACTTTGACCTACAACAGCCCTTGAGAGCTTTCCTGGAGAAAGAGCGTTGTAGAAGTTACAAAAAAAGAAATCTTTCAGTGAGGCATGGGATTTTTCCTACCTTGAATATGTTTCGAGAGAATAGGGGAGATGGGGGTTAAAATGTTTTTTGTGTTATTATGTAAATGTTATTATGTACAGCCTGTACATAGTGGAAATCAGTCAATCAACTCTGGACTTGGAATCAGGAGACCTGATCTTGTGTTCCATCCAGATCTTCAGCTTACAAATAGTTTGACCTAGGTTCAAGTCACTTCAGCTCTGAAACTGTTTCCTCATCTTGGTCAAATGGTAAAATGAATGCTTACACCAAGCTACTTCATAGGGAGTGTTGTGGCAAAAAAGCACTTTGTAAATCTTAAGGCCTTACAGAAACAAATTGTTACTATTCTTTTTCCCCCATACAATCATAGATTTGGAAAGAGTCTAAGAGATCATCTATACAAATTTGAGATTTTAGTTTAGTTCTGTGCTTTATGTTGATGTCTTATGTGGATTTGACTAAAAGGATAAATAATGCCATTACTATTTTAGACATTAATTTTCATTCAGCATACATATACTAAGTACCTATTGTGTGCTGAACACTTCCTCTGCTGGGAGATGTGCAAAATGTAAGTTAGATATGGTCTCTGCCCAGGTAGAATTTATAGCTTATTAAGCTGTAAACTGATAAGGCTGACAAAACCTAAATACTGGTGACTATAAAACACAGTGGTACATTAAATAGACAAAAGGTCTAAAGGAAAAAGTCTTTATGGACAGGGAGCATTTTAACATCCAACCAATAGAATACTATTATCCTTCCCCAGAAACTTCCTCTCAAAAAGAATACTTTTGAATTTATAGGTAGTCTATGCAATAATAATGATAACTCCAACTTTTTTTTTTAAGCGCATTAAGGCTTACCGAGCACTCTCCTCAGAACTGTGTGATGTTGGTAATGCCAAGTATTCCTGTCTTCATTGTGCAGATGAAGAAACTCACTGTGTCCTTATATGTAATTCTGAAAATCCTATTCCTGTAGTGCTTTAAAGTATTACAAGTGTTGGCCTCACAACAACCCTGTGTGATAGGTAGTGCAAGTATAATGATCCCCATTTGACAGATAAGAAAAATGAGTGTCAGAGAGATTAAACTACTTGCCTCAACTATAAACTGTTGGAGCCAAGATTTGTTGACATAAGCCCTCAGATTTTTGACAGATGTCACGGGGTGCAATTAATAATATAGGCGATCTGGAGTGACTTAATCATGGCCTATCAGTTTTAACCTCCCTCTCCCCCAATCTTAGTTTCCTCCTCAGTGACATGGGAATACTACTGCTTGCATCATTAACTTCATCCTGGGAAAGTGCTTTGCAAATGATGAAGTGCTGTATGTAGAACTTTACTACTTGTGTGAACTCAGAGCTGTCCAAAAGTGGAAGATATTCAGGAGGTGTGTTCCCTATCACTAGAAGTAGAATATTATAGAAGGAACTCTTATTCAGTTATATGTTCCAGCAGTGGGGAACCTGCAGCCTTGAGGCCATGTATGGCCTTTTAGGTGCTCAAGTGTAGCCCTTTGACAGAATCCAAACTTCACAGAACAAATCTCTTTAATAAAAGGATTTGTTTTGTAAAGCTTGGACTCAAAAGGCTGCATCCAAGGACCTAGAAGACCACATGTGGCCTTGAGGCAGGAGGTTCCCCACCCAGGTTAGACTGTATGACTTCCAAGGTTCTTTCCAGATATGAGGTTATGAAAAAGAAATTATCTTATGATTGATAGAACTAAAATAACACTTCCATTTTCTTAAAAAGAACCTTTTGAAAGTTGGCTAACTTGCCATCTTAATGACTCAAATGTAGCTTTGCATTTGATAACCCAGGCATTAATTTTTTTTTATGGTGAAGTTACAGTTGTTTACTTCATTGAGTGCCTACTACTTACAAGTCTTTTTAAATGGAAATTTTAAAGTATTATAGAATCATGGAATTTCAGAATTGAATGGGACTTCAAAGAAAATCCAATCTAATTTGTACCTGAATAGGAATTCTTTTTATACCCAAAAGTGGTTGGTCTCCAGCCTTTGTTTGAAGACCTTCAGTGAGAGGAAACCCATTCCCGCCTGAAGCGGGACATTTCTAAGCATTAGGAAGTCTTTTCCTCACATCAAGCTTAAATCTTCCTGCAACTTCCACTTATTGCTCCTAATTCTGCTCTTTGGGATATAGCAGAATAAGTACAATCCATCTTCCAAGTCTGTAAAATACTTGAAGACCACTATTGTATCAGTCGTCAACTTATCCTCATGGCCTGATCTTCAGAACTCTCACCATCAGATTATACTTGTCTGGAAATCCTTAACTGTGTCAATGTTAAAATATGGTGGTAGAACTGAACATGTTACTCCCCATGTGATATGACCAGGGATTAATACTGCAGGACAGTAACCTCCCTAAGCTAGAAAAAAATTTTTTAATGACTTCTGCGGGTAGTAAAAGTCTGCTGCAGTTGTATTTTTTTTATAGACTTCCTATAGATTTCTTGATGCCTTTTTTGAACATCATTCATTTCTGAATATACAGCTCCCTACCTCTTAGTAAGCTTTCCCTTGTATTAACTATAGATTAATCATAGAGCCTTAAAATGCTAGCTATGTACAAGGTGATGGGTCAGGCAGAGCTGGAAAAGTCGAAGGTGTAGTTCAAAAGATACTGAATGCCATCTTATACAATTAACATTATGTTTTGAGGAGACTTGGCTTCAAACTTATATGTGGGATATTTTATATGGACTTGTTTTATTTTGGACAAACTTAGTGTGTACAAAACCAGATCATAAAACAGTCATGTGATTCTTTGTTTCACATGTTGCATTTAAAATGTGAAATAAATTATTTTCCAGCTCTAGGTATCATGTTAAATAGGCAAGATACAATTGCATGTTTGTATGTAGATGACATTGTAAACATTCATTAAGTACCTTTATAAGATGTATTTTCAAAGAACTTAACTATCAACCAAGACCTTAGTAGACTTCATGCAGTTAAAACAAAGCCCAATTCTGCCCATAGCTTACCCTCTCACAGACTTTGTTTTTCTTGTGAAGGAAACTTTTAGGTTGAAAAATGGACCTTTTATTACCATACTGACATTCAAAATGATTTATTAACTTCCTCAGTTTATACCATGGTGTATAAGGACTTTATTTTATGTTCTTTAATTTAAACGAGAACTTGCTGTGAGGGAGTTATTCAAAAAGTCTTAATATCAGATGCAGCACCTACAGTGTTAGATCATTTCTACAGACTTGTTTTGGAATCTGAATTATGTTTACGAATGGAGATTTCATGATAGTGCCTTTGTCTTATGAAACAATGAGAAATTTCATCCCATTTTACTTTATGTACTTTTTATAGAGTTGAGGATGTTATTTTCTCCATTCTTGTTTTTAGAACTAATGTTCTGAGTTACATTTTATGTTATGTTTATTTGATGTAGCTAGCTGGCCCAGTGGTTAAAGCACTGGACCTTTCAGGAAGACCTGAGTTCAAATTCAGCTTCAGATGCTAGCTATGTGACTCTGGATAAGTCACTTGACCTGTCTACCTCAGTTTCTTCATGAGAATAATAATAGTACCTATTTGTGAGGTAAGGATAAAATAAAATATTTGTAAAGTGCTTTGCTGTTTTTAAAGAGCTATATAAATGCTATCATTTTTAACTTAAAAGTTTTGTTAGTTTTCTCTTAATGAATTAGAATAAGGAATATTTATAGGAATATGGTCTTGAGAACAAAAGTGTCACTTGAGATTTACAAATAGTATTATCTGGTAATCCTTTAGCACTTGAATTTTACAAGCAAAATCTTTTGCTGTTGATTTGAAATTCATGTTTGCAAGGATACATATTTTAAATTTCTACATTCTGAAAATGTGTATATAAAACCCTAAAATAAGTCAGATTTTCTCTTTAGTTCTCATGCATCACTGTCATTAAGTCCAATCTGAGAGCCGGTGCTTAGTGTAGCTCCTCTTATGTAGTCACATATTTAAGAGATATGTGTTGATTTTTAACTTTACAGTTGGAATATAGGACACATTTTTCCTAAATCTTGAAGTTTTGGTAGCAGAAGACTTAAAAAGACAACTACTTCTAAAATATCAGTTTGCACTTAATTGTTTACTATTAAGGTTTAGCTAACCTAAAAGGGATTAAGAAAAGCAAAGAATGGAGCTTTTCATTTTGTGCATTGAATAAAAATTTATAACTAGAAATACGTTTTATGTGTTCTGATGATAGCCAGAGATCTGAAGACAATTTTTAAAGGGATGTGGTTTGTGTTTCTACAAAAAACATGGGTAGAAATAGATAATAAAGTGAACATAGGAACATAAACAGCACTAGGGTTACTTTTGAATTCTTTCCTTGACTACTTTTTTACATCTTTAGTATTTTTATTGGTGATAAACATATGATACTAGGTGGCACAGTGAATAGAGCTCTGGCTTTGGAGTCAAGAGGACCTGAGTTCAAATGCAGACTCAGACACTTAACACTTACTAGCTGTGTGACCTTCGGCAAGTCACTTAACCCCAATCGCCTCACCAAAAAGCAAAAAAAAGAAAAAAAGAAAACCCATGATAGAGACTACCATTGCCTGTTTCAATTAATTTTATTTGGTAACAGTCAGAACATTCTTATTAGTGATATATGAGGGCCTGTGATCTGTGCTGTAATGTGTATCCACACAAGTGTAATCACATAGAATCTCAGAACTGGAAAGGACCTCAAAGTCATTTAGTCCAGCCAGCACACCCCTCCATACATAGCATGTTCAATATTTGACTTCTAGTGATAGGAAACTTGCCACCTGCAGAACCAATCCATTCCACTTTTGGACAGCTCTTGTCGTTAAGAAGTTTTTCCTTGTATGGAGTTGAAATCTCTGAAAATTCCACCCACTGCTTCATATTATGCCCTCTGGAGCTTCAAGAAGCACATTTCCATGAATTATTGAAGTGTTAGCTATGAAGATCACTATCTGAGTGATAGAACTTTACATGATTTGAGGTAACAACATGCCAATATGGCATCTACATTTTTCTGTTATTTATATAAAATGGCTTCTGTTTTCTCTTTTCAGTCACTGAAATTAGCTATCAAAGTTCCTCCAGAGTCTCAGTCTTTTTGGTTTCAGTGCTAGTCAAGAGGGCCTCTTATAAAATTTATAGTTTAAAGCTAATTAAGGTTTGTGGTAGACTCTTAGACTTTGAACTTAACTGTTATGAGATCCTTTACTGAAGTTCTGTCAAGATGTTTCATTGTGGTATTGAAGTGACTCTGTGTGGTGGTGACCTAGGAGACTCAATTCCTATGCCAGTGAAGTGCAAGGTCTAGCAGGTTTTACTGAGCTGGAGAAAACTGTATAGGCCCAATGATGGACTGCATTTTTTTTTTTTGTCCAAGGACCAGCTTTGCCAAATATCTTTGAAAATATGGCCTGGAGAATGACCATACATATCATCTGTTGAAGTAAAGGAAAGCAATTTGTGGGTCAGTAAGAAGTTTGTCAATTCTGCTTATCTATTACACTGTTGCTTTCTTTAGTAGGTCTCATAGAAAGTTATGTTTGTGGGTAAATTTGGAGTACATAGCTTCAGATATGTGCTTGTGTTTCTTCAACCTAGGGAGGAGGGACTATATTTTAAAGTGTGGGTGGGCCAGCTTTGGGGTAGGGAGACAGGCAATTGCCTTGCACATACTGAACCATTAATGTCTTGTAAAATTTGACAATGTTGAATCATTTCTCTTGGAAACTACTGTTCCAAAGTAATGTATAGATGTATTACGTATGGATAATTTCCAGACTGAACTCAGCAGTCCCCCTCTACCCTTACCATTTTGTTTCTTCCCTCTTCTCACCCTCTCCCCCTCAAATGTCAGGTCCTCCTTCTTCTATATTTCTGTTAAAGGGTATCACCATTCTCTTCACAACTGAACTAGTCATTTAGACTTCTTCCTCTACCCCCATATTGAATCAGACACCAAGTGTTTTTGACTCTGCCTCTGCAGTAGCTCTTATCAACCCCTTTTCCTTTTAATCCTGCTGCCAACACCTTCATTACCTCTGTATATTTCCATAAGCTCTGCAAGGGACCTTAGTGATTATCTCATCCTGTTTTTTCATTTTACAAAAGAGGAAACTGAGGTCCAGCAATAGAGTGACTTACTCAAGGAAATAAGGGGCAGACTCAGCATTCCAACCCTGAACTTGGGGCTTGAAGTTCAGTACTCTTTTCATCATACTGTGCTCGCTTACTGTCCTGCTAACTCATCAATTCAATTCAGTATGCATGTATTAAGCACCTGTTCTGTGAAGGGCACTATTTTATCGTGGGGATACAAAGATGAAAAACTATGCAGTACTTATCATATCTTTAAGATCTTTTAATGAGGGTCATGGAAAACTGTCATATTGTAACTCTGTGTAATATAAAGCTAATCCATAGCTGTGGTAGAAAGAAGACATATGCAAATGGTTTTTTGTTCCAATCAGAATATAATAAGTGCATAGGAGAGTTTCAACAGAGATGAGAGATTTGAAGATGAGGTAGGATCACTTCTAGCTAGAATAATGAGGATGACATTGTCAAGGGAAAATGTGACACCTGAATTTGACTTTGAAAGAAGAGCATGATTTCAGCTGGCAGGGATATGGAGGAAATCTCTTTTAGGCATGAAGAATGGTTTGGCAAAATCCACAGAGACTAGAGAGAACAAGATGAGATAGTGAGAACAGTTAGCTTAGTTTGGTTGAAATGTACTGTGTGTGAAGGAAGAGTGGTATAAAATAAGACAACAAAAGGTGGCTAGATCCAGATTATAGAGGGTCTTGAAAGCAAATTTAGATCTGATGTAAGGAAAAACTTCCTACCAATTAGAGCTATCCAGAAGTAAAATAGGCTGCCTTTGAAGGAAAGTGGTTTCTTTTTGTCGAATAAAAGACTGAACTGACCATTTGTAGGCATTTATTAAATGGCTGGTATGTGCCAGACACTGTATTCAGTGCTGTTGATAAAAAGATAAAAGTGAAATAGTCTGTGCCCTCAAGGAACTTACAAGGATGCTTTTGGGAGAGGCATTAGGAACTTGGACATTCAGGAAAGACTTCATGTAGAAAGTGTCATTTGAGCCAGGTCTTATAGGAAGACAAGGATCCTGACAGGTGGAAGTGAGGGGCAGATGTGTTCCAGGGGTTGAAGACAATCTAGGCAGAAGCGTGGAGATGGGAAATGGAATGTGATAAACGGGAAACATCAAAGTATCATTTATGAAGAACAGTTTAAAAGATGTTGTGAAGGTAGAATCAACAGGGCTTGTCAACAGATTGGATTTGTGGGGTAGAAGAGAATAGAGTTGAGAATGACACCTAGGTTTCAAGCCTAGATGACTAGGATGATGGTATCCTCCAACGTAAGAGGAAAGTTAGGAAGAGTGAATGGCTTGGGAAAGATAATGAATTTAGTTTTGGACATGTTGAATTTAAGATGTCTATGGGATGTCCAGTTTGAGATATCCAGTAGCCAGTTGGTGATGGGCATGATCCTTGTAGGGGCATCTGTGTAGTACAGTGGATAGACTCCTGGACTTGAAGTCAAGAAGACCTGAGTTCAATCCTGCCTCAGACACTTGCTAGTTGTGTGACTCTGGGCAAGTTGCCTAATCCCTGTCTGTCTCTGTCTCCTCCCAGGGTTGTTTGTGAGGATAAAATGAGGTATTTGTAAAGTGCTTAGCAAATTTTTAAAAAGCATTCTCTAAAATGTTAGCTATTATTATTATTATTCTATGTGATACTAGAGGTTAGTGCTACATAAATACATCTGAGAATCATTCACATAGAGATGATAATTGAATCCTTGGGAGCTGATGAGGTCACCAACCAAAACAGTAGAGAGAGAAGAAAGGGGACCCACAGACAGAGCCTTCAGGGACATCCACGGTTCGTGAGTGTGATCTGGACAAAGATCCAGCAAAGGAGACTGAGAAGGAATGGTTAGACAGGGAGGAGAACTAGGAGAGAGTAGTGTCATGAAAACCCCAAGAAAAGAGAATATCAAGAAGAAGAGGCTGCAGAGATGTCAGGAATGGTAAGGATTTGAGAAAAGACAGGCTTAGACTTAGCAATTAAGAGGTTGTTGGTAACTTTGTAGAGAGCAGTTAAGGTCAGAATCCAGACTGTAAAGCATTAAGAGAGTGAGAGGAGAGTAAATGGAGTTACTGGTTGTAGCTAGCTTTCTCAAGGAGTTTAACCACAAAAGGGAGGTGAAATATAAGATGATAGCAGGAACGGATGGATCAAGCAAGGGTTTTTTGAAGATGGGGAGACATGAGCTTGTTTGTAGAGAGTAGCCACTAGACCAAGAGTGATTAGAGATTGGTGAGCATAAGGAGTCAAGGATGATACTGGGGTTGCAAACCTTGGTAACTAGAAGGATGGTGGTGCCCTTGACAGAAATAGGGACGTTTGTTAGGTAGTCAGTTTGGGGGGAAAGATCCGTACTATTTTGGACACCTAGAATTTGAGAAACTTAGGGAAGATCCAATTAGAAATGTCTAAGAGGCAGTTGGTGATGCGGAATTGGAACTCTAGAGACTAGTTCTATATTTGTACAAGAGAGAATCATTTGCATAGAGATGATAACCTGTGGGAATTTATGAAAAGTCCCCAAGTGAGATAGTGTGGAGAACAAAGAAAAAGAGGGAGAAGGGCAGAACCTTGGGGTATACTTACAGTTAGGGTTGGCATATGAAGAATGATCAAGCAAAGGAGATTAGAAATGATTGGTCTAACAGATAGAAGTAGAACTGAGGGAAATCAACATTGTGAAAATCCAAGGAAGAGAGAACATCCAAGAGAAGGTAGTCAAAAGTATCAAGTGCTTCAGAAAGGTCAAGATGGATAAGGATGGACAAAAGGCCATTAGGTTTGGTAAGTTAGAGATCATTGGCAACTTTGGAGAACAGTTGAGTGATAAGTTCAGAAACCAGATTGTAAAGTATTGAGGAGTGAGTAAGAAAAGAAGATATTGAGGAATTACCTGAGATAGATTTTGTTTTGTTTTAGGAGTTTGGCTGAGAAAAAGAAGAGAGATATAGGATAATAATTTGAGGGGATTGTCAAGGTTTAGGGAGGTTTTTAAAAAAATAAAGAGGGAGATTTGGGTGTGTTTATAGGCAACAAGGATGGAACTAGGAGATACGGAGACCTTGAAGATTAGAAGGGGAATGATTATGGGGGCAATCTGTTAGAGACTGTGGGAGGGCATGGAATCAAGGAATCAGAGGGGTTGGCCTTGGTGGGAAAAATAACTTGTTTGTTCTTCATTTTGAAGAGGACCAGTGACATCATGGAGTGATGTCTTGACTTGTGGGTGAATTTGGATTTCAGTAAGGCAGAGTTGCACAAAATCATCAGCCTCTCTCTTCCAGAGTCATCAGGGTTCAGTGGCAAGACAAAAGTCAGGACGACTGATAATGGATGCAGTAGATGACCTTGGTATCTTCTACATCTGACCAAGCTCTAAGTATTCCACAGGGCCTACTTCAGCCACCTTCATGCTTGTTAGAAGAAATTGTTCTTATCTGCCCATTCTGCTGGGAGAAGTCTTCACATGCTTGGGTAGACACCCTGCTAACTCACCAATGGGTTTTGAGGCTCTTTGGTTGCCCTAAACCTGGTTTAGCCTGTCTGCCTGCATGGTTTACTGGGTTATGGCCATTGTGCATGTTATAGCTTCTTGAAGCCATAGGTGAGAGTTGAGTGGCAGGTAGACACTAAAGGTGGATGGGCGGTCCCCAAAAGGGCTAGTCCTCCTTTACTACCCCATACACCCTGAAAAAAGAGCTAGCTATTCACTGGAGACCGGAGTAAGGGAACAGAGAATGGGGAAATGATATCAGGAAATTGTTAAATGTAGTGAAGAGAGGGAGCCATGGCTGATGGACTCAGTTTTCTTGTTAAGGGAGGTCCTCAGCTGAGAGAGTGGGTGAGAGGTGGTGGTAAGAGAGGCTTGAGGAAAGAAAAGGTTTGGGATAACTTATAGCTTTGTGGTGAGTGGGAACAAGAAGCAATTAGGAAGGAGAAAAAGGATTATGAAAAAGAGCAGAGGAGACAGATATCTAGGGGTTTGACAAAGCATGAATAGACAGTCAAGACTACAGGATATTTTAGAGTTGAATGGGTTAACTAAAGGGTCAGTTTTGGGAAAACAGGAAAGTGAAGGCCGAGCAGTGATAACAGCCTAGAAATTTACTTAGGACTGGAGTAATTAGAGTTTATGGTGAGGACAGTGAATGTGTTTATGAGGCATAGGGTATAGGAAAGATGGTTTGATAACAGATTATGATAGGCTAAAGGATTTTCAGAGTTATTGATCATGGAAGTTGAACTCTTGTGGTACTAGCAAGATCAAAGTTGTCGCCAGTTTTGTAACTGAGAGTAGAGGAATAGACTATGGGAACTGAGTGGATTGAGAAATAGAATGATTAGGATTTTTGAGAGATCATTAACATGTATTTTGATGTCCCTTAATATAAGGGCTTCTTGAAAAAGGAAGGAGAATGACTTTGGAGCCAGTAAATAACAGACACCTGGATTTTGATTGGATGACTGGTATCAATAAAGAACCTTAAAGGAGAGTTTGCTGGGTGAGTTTGGCATTAGGAGAATCTGAAAGTGTCCATGGGGAACAAGGAGTATATGACTCCCATTTCAGGACCATGATATTGTAAAATATAAGATGAAGTACAACCAGAACTACAGAGAGTAGACCGGAATGCAGTGTCAACCAGAAGATGGTAGGAGGAATAGAAGAGGAGAAAGGCCAAAAAGGGAGGGCAAAGTTTGTCAGTAACAGAACAGCCAGAGCTGAAGTGGGGCTTTGGAGGTGTCCAGTTATGAATGGGGTTGAGAGATCAGGAAGTTTGAGTTGACTGTGTATCAGGGCAGGGTCGGAGTTTACTCTTAGGCAGTTAGATATTCATTGTCATCAAGACTAGGAGAAATAAGGAAGGATAGGAGTTGGTAGTGGTAGATGGGACCATCTCTGATGACGATGGCAGGTGAGTAGAATGCACTCGCGCTCTCTCTCGCTCTCTCTCTCTCTCTCTCTCTCTCTCTCTCTCACACACACACACACACACACACTCTCAGTTCTGCTTTGCTGTCTTAGTGGTTCTGCAAGAATCATAGGTCTTAAAGCTGGAAAAATCTTTCATTCAAAATGGGTCATGGCCCTTTTAATAGTTGGGTCTGTGCAGTGTTGGATGAGCCACTTCACCTCCCTAGGCCTTAGTGTTTACATCTCCCTAGTATTGCTTGATCTGAAGGCTCTTCTCAATCGTGACTGTCCTCTACCTTGTGAATTTTCCTCTTAAAATATAGCAGCCAGAACTGAACACAATATTGCAGATGTTGTCTGACCAGGGCAGAGTTTGTGGCACTCTCATCTCCAGTTTCCTAGACCCCATAGCACTCTTAAAGCAGTTTAAAATAATATTAGCATTTTTGATTACTGTATCATACTATTAACTCAGTCACTTGCAGTCTACTGAAACCTTTTCATTTTTCAGATAAAGTATTATCTTATACTTGTGATTTGTTCTTAGTAAATTTCATCTTAGTATATTTGACTCAATGATCTTTTTGAATCTTGACACTATCATATTGTATATTAGCCATCCCTCCCACCTTTGTGTCGTTTTCAGACTTGACAAGGATACCATTTATTTCTTTATCTAAGTCATTAATAAGAATTTAAAACAGCAGAAGGCCAAGCATACATACTTCCCCAGAGTTCTTCACTGGAGAGCTGCCGAGTTGACATCAGGTCATTAATGATAGGTAACTCTTTGAGTCCAGGCATTCACCCAGTTCTGAATCCCTCCAATTACAATGTCTAGTCCGTGTTTACTCATCTTTTCTACGAGAATTATATGGTAGTCTTGGCTAATTACTTTGTCAAAATCTAGATAAAATATATTTGTAGCATTCCTCTCTTCTACCAGCTTAGTAAACCTGTCAGAAAAAGGAAATGAAGTTAGTTTGACATGACCTGTTATTGATGAAGCCATATTTGCTCTTTGTGACTGTTTTTCTTTTCTCGTTAACTATACTTTGAATAATATAGTCTGATTTTGGTTTGCAGGTTCTATTCTCGTCCCCTTTTTGAAAATTGAGACAATGTTTGTCATTCCTTAATTCTTTAGATGTCTTTATACAATTTTTAGAAGCTTTCCTATTAATGACTCAGCAATCATATATTATATATTATAATTCTCTGATTAGCTGTTAGAAAGTAAGCACTGTGAGGGCAGAGACTTTTACATAAATAGGTAAAGCATTTATTAAGTGTTTACTATGTCGGGCGCTGTGCTGAGTGTTGGGATATTTTTCTTTTTCCTTTTTCTCCTCAGTGCAAAGTAGAGTTCCTGGAACATAGTAAGCATTTGATGGTTGTTGAGTTCCCCAAGAATGTAGTTCATCTCTGCCTGTGACTGGATCTCATAAAAGGTAGGTGATTGTTCTCATTATCTCCCTGTTAGCCATTTCTGTTCTCTCTTTTCCAATCTAAAGATCATTCTCCATTGCCAGAGGGAACAGAAACAAAATAAGGTTATGATAGCTCTGCCTTCTCTCCATTTCCTGTTATCGGCCAGCCATCCTGAGGAGAGGGTCTTCTCTCTTTCTTTATTGTCTTCCTTTTCCATCTTTGTTATCCTTCTTTTTCCTTGCCAACCTAAACACATTGTGAGCTGTTGTCCTCTGAAGCATTCCTAAAGACATGCTACTTATGTATTTATTCTCCATTATCTGTCTTTGCTTCCAACATCTCTTGTCTTTCAAAAATCAACTTGGTTGAATTACCTGTACATCCATTTTAATCTTTTTAGACATTTCCCCTTTTGCCTCTCCTTTTCTTCATAAGAATTTTTTCTCTTTGTATCTTTGAAATTCCATTATTGAGAATTTGCCATCCCTCCTGGCTTTACTATTAAAGAATTTTTGATTATGAGATCCTACCTATTCTTTTTCTGTGCACTTTTAAATTTGTTCTCATTGGTTAGAAGACTCATTGGGTAGAAAAGGTTATATTTAGAAATAAAAGTGATATAAAAGTACCAATACTTTTTTTTTAAATAAGGGAAAAAATATCTAGAACACATTAGATTTTGCCTGACTTTTTCTCTGTCATCAATTCTGCAATGGAGTGGTCACTTATCTCTAAGTTAAAACCATCATTTCTACCCCAAGCAGCTAGTTTTTTAAAACTTCTTATGAGAATCAAATCCAGAATAGAAGTTCTCCATTTGGTTCCTTTACCATTTGAAGCATGAAGTTATCAGTAAGGCAAATCAATAAATTTTTACCTGCTCTGCTTTTGGCAGAGAAAATTATACTAGAAAATTGAAGTCCACCATCATTATTATATTATGTCTCAGTGCCAGGCTTTTGATTTGTTTCCGGTGTTTCTTATCCCTTTCCTCTTTCTGGCCAGGTGGTCTGGACAGAATATAAGTTTGTGATGATACTCTTTCAGCTTCTGCCTCCATTGATGCTCACCCAAATGCTTTCCAACATGCTCTTCCCACTTCCCATTCCCTTTCTGGATTTCCTCACAAAACTATATATAGCTTCTTAATACACATACAGTGCTACTTGCCCCTTGCCCCTTTGTTTGTCTTGTTGCTTTTGAATAAGGCTTTTGAATAAGTTGTTTTCCAAAAAACTCTCTAGGCATGAGTCTCATCCCTACTGATTCTCTTGATAGAGAAGAGGTCAAATTTGTCTCCTTGGTTAGAATTTCTAGTTCACCTTGCTCATTGCTCATACGTTGTTCTTTGGTGTATAGGTATCTTGAGGCCATGGGATTTTATTATTTGTTCCTTTCTTGGGTTTTGTGTCCTAGAATTTCTTGCTGCTGTTTTTTTCATTAATTTCAAACATTTATTCAGCACCTGCTATGTCCAGTCAGTTAAATAGCATTTATCAAGTGCATATTTGTGCCAGGCACTGTCCTAAGCGTTGAGGATGCAAAGAAAAGCAAAAACACAGTCTCTGCCCTCAAGGATGTCATATTCTAATGGGAGAGACAAAATTTAAATCACTATATACAAGATAAATACAGTGTAAAGGGGAGGTAATCTCCAGAGGGAAAGCACTAGGAAGGGGTAAGGAGAACTGGGCAAGGTTTCTTGTAGAAGGAGAGATTTGAGCTGACTCTTGAAAGAATCTGAAGGTGAGGAGGAAGAGCATTCCAGGAATGAGGGACAGCCAGCAAAAGGCAGAGTTGGGAGATAGAGTGTCCTGTGTAAGGAATAGGAAGTAGGCCAATGATGCTGAATTGTAGAATATGTAAAGGAGGAAGAAAAGTATAAGAAGGAAAGTAGGAAGGGGCCTAGTTGTGAAGGGCTTTAAATTCCCAACAGGATTTTATAGGGAGCTACTAGAATTTATTGAGTGGGGAGAGTGGTATATGATATGGTCAGACATGTGCTTTTGGAAAATCACCTTGGCAACTGAAGGGAGAATAATCTGAGTGGGGAGATACTTGAGGCGGGGAGATCAACCGGTAGACTATTGTAATAGTCTAGGTCTCAGTTACTTGAGGTCAGATTTGAAGTCAAGTTTTCCTGACTCCAGGCCTATTGCTCTATCCGCTGTGCTACCTAGTTCCCTCTTGACAACAGATTGCATATGTAGGGTGAATCGGACGTTGATGACATGATGGTTGGGAAGCTGGGTGACTGTGAGGATGATAGTCTCCTTGTTTTTAATAGGAAAGTTGGGAAGAGCAAAAGGTTTGGGGTGGTGGGGAAGAGGGTCATTCTTGTTTTAGACATTGATTTTGACATGCCTACTAGAGGTCAGGAGAGAAATTAAGGCTTTGTATATAAATCTAAAAGTCATTTGTGTTCAGATGATAATTGAACTATGGGAGTTGATGAGGTCACCAAGGTAGGAAGGAAAACCAGAAGAGAGCTTAATGTCATGAAGATCTATAGAGAAGAGAGTGTATAGGAGAGCAGGTGATCGGTAGTGTCATAGGCTATAGAAAGGTCAAGAAGGATGAGGATCGAGAAAAGGCTGACAGGAGTAGTTTTAGTAGAATTATGAGTTCCAGATTGCAGAGAATTAGGAAGTAAGTAAAGAGAAAGTGGAGATACGGAATCTAGGTAATTTAAGGGCTGAGACGAAAGACATAGGATAGTGGCTAGTAGAGATGTTGGGATCAAGTGAGGGTTTTTTAAGGATGGGAGGTGGAAAGGGTTCATTTATATACAATAGGGAAGCAGTCAGTAGCTGAGAGAAATTGTAGTGAGTATGATAGGGGGGGATGATCAGCCACAGTGGAGTCAAAGATGCATGAAGGAAGGTTTGCCTTGGCAAGGAAAAAGGTTACCTCTTTATGAGAGTCAAGTGAAGGAGTGGGGAAGATGTCTGAGTGATGTGAGATGAGGAAAAGAGGAAAAGATGGAGCTCTTAAAAAATGGCCTCAATTTTTTCTGTGAACTATGGGGTTAAGTCCTTAGCAGAGAGGATAGGGGGAGAAGTACTATGGAAAAAAAGACTTGAGGAGGAATGAAAAGGTTTGGAATAGCTGCTGTAGTGTGTATGTGATGGGGAGTCAATTAGGAAAATGTAAAAAGATTGCCTTACTGAAGTGAAAGCCCAGTTTTGAGATTATGTAACAAAAATTTGTAGTCAACTCAGGCAAAGCACTAGGGGTACAACAGCAAAATGGAAACTGTCCCTGACCTTGAAGTGCTTATATTTTTTTAAGGGGCAGCAATTATAAAAGTCAATACAAAATAAACATAACAGTAATTTCCAGGGGAAAGGGCAACACTAACTGAAAGGATTAGTATAGACTTCTTATAAAAAGTGACGCTTAAGCTGAGCTATGAAGGAAGCTAGGAATTCTAGGAGATGGAAGTGAGGAGGGAGTGATTCCAGGCCTTTACAGAATCAGAGAGAGTGGAGGTGAAACGAGCTGCCTAGGAAGCAGTGATGAGTAGGAGTGTTTGCCTGTTTGGCTGGAGTGTTTTTATAAAGGAGCCTGGAAAAGTAGATCATATTTTTCCCACAAATTGTAGTGTCTATACCTAGCTTGTTGGATATATGTAGACAACCCATTTCTTTATTATTTTCAGGTCCTTTTGACTAGATTTGCAAGATTGAAGGCAAATACATATTTACCAGCTCTCATTAGGTGTTTTCCATCCTTGGCTAGTAGCTTATTTTTCTTTCTCATCTATAAAAGGAGGGAGCTGGGCAAAAGGATCTCTTAGTGTACTTTCTTGTGCTTCTGAAGAAAAAGAGCTTTGTTACATTTATCTTTGTAGCTTTCACAATATCTTGTACATAGTAGGTGCTTAATAAATGTTGAGTGATTGAATGAATAATAGATACAAAAGAAGCCATTAAATTATATAAAATAGATTTTTTTTTAACAAATGAATTCATATTTGCCATTCTGCATGGGTCAGGAGTGTGAATGTGGGGGTGTTGGTTTGGTAAGTATCATTATTTGTCTGGGTTGTCAGAAGGAACTATAGGGGAGAGGTCAAGGACTGGATGTTGCTAAATGTACAAACTACGTTTTCTGTAACTTAATCTGCGAGCTGCCTCATTGGTAGTGTTACTCTGGAGAACATGTAGTGTTTAACATTTGAACCAGTTTATTAATCTGGTTCCCAGATATTTTCTGATGTAAAATAATGAGAGACTTGGAAAAGAACCTTTTCACTCATGACATTTTCTTAAAGTTTAAAAAAAGCTGTATCCACAGACTTCGATTTCATATAACAACTTTTTCTGAAATTAATACTTAAACAATGCAACTACTACTTAAAGAACTAAAGTCTTTTTGCAGTACCTCACTTGACATGAGGGTGACCTTGCACTGTTGCATAAATTGCTCTGCCTGCAGAGCACACATTTTGGCAAAGCCCTACTAAACTGAAAAGGTCTTGAGTACGTGCCTGGCAATGAGCTGCAATTCTGTTGAAGTAAAGAGCCATCTGCTAAAGATGTTGGAGGTTCTGTGCTCTGTGTCTGTAGAGGGAGTACCCACATCAGTATGTGAAATGTAAAGAAGCATATATGTAGCTTGATTGTTGATTCTACAAATACAAGATTTACCTAACATTGGTAATCAGTAATAATTTAGTAAACTAGTATTTTGGTGTCTTTTGACAACATAAAATGTATTTCAGGTTTTGTCTCTCAGGGGTGTTTATAGTATGAGAGTGTTACTCTGAATCATTGGGGAAGTTCTGATTTTCTAGTGGAAGCATGTGAAATAGAAGTCAAACTTTTGCAGTTCTTAAGGAATCCTGTGGTGTCCACAATACTGAATTTGGCAATTTCCATTTACTTACAATGTGATTCCCAATAGTTGAGTTGCCTATAAGTTATAGACAAGAAAATGTAGATCCCAATAGTTACTTATATTCATTCATTCTTTGTATAGACTTATTATTTAATATCAATTTTTGATAACTAGACTAAGGATTGAGTTCATTTAGTAAGGGGCAGCTATATGGAAAAAACACTGGACTAGTAGTCAGCAGTTTTCCGCACTAGCTCTGTCACCAACTTGCTCTGTGACTTTGGACAAGGAACTTCAGCTGCCTTAGTTTCTAGGCTCATTTTCCTTCACTGTAGAATAGAGAGGGGCAGGTGAACTAGATCAGTGATGATAAAGTCAAGTGGAAACAGGGGTCACTAAATTAATTGTACATAAGGATTCCTGCAGTTGCATATTAATGTGGAAAACAGCATATTGACATTATTACGTTCTATTGTATTATTTATTTTGTAAAATATTTCACAGTTGCATTTTAATTTGTTTCTGGACACAGTCAGGAGTGTCTTTGAGAGCTTTGGATTGGATAATCACTAGTGTAGCTTTTAGGTCTGATTCATTGGAAAAGGGACAAATTTTGATGGTCTAGACCATCTGAGCAGTTTGACTTAGGGCAGTCACAGGATAAAAGATTTAATAAAATAATTGGATTTTTATGTAGACTTGGAATCATATCTCTTGAGAGATAATCTAATTCAGCCCCCATATTTTGTAGATTTTTGCAGATTATGTGATTTTATTATTTTTATTATATATTATTTTATTATTATTACTGTTACTTATTGGAATACATTTAAATAATATATATAGAAGGCTGGGAGAGTTACTTCAGCCTAAATAAGAAAAAAGGTGATCTAGAAAGGTCTTGGAAAGCCAATCCCTTTTGCTTGATGATGTTTAAGATCATAGGATTTAGACCTGGTAGAGACGTTAGACATCATCCAGTTCAACCCCTTCATTTTATAGAGGAGGAAACTTGGGCCCAAAGAGGTAAAGTGACTTGCCTGAGATTGTTAGTGTCATTTTTTTGTTATTGTTTGCTATGAGCTAGAAACATTTGCTTTTCCCCCTTTCTCTGTAGTTTGTGCTATGTGAAATATTTAACATGTTTTGTTTTTGAATTGTCTTCAGAGCTTAATTGCCTAAATACAGTTACCCAAGAGTGATACAGTAAGCTTTATTTACTATGTAAACCAAAACCACTTAGAAGTAGATAAGGTTAGATATATAGGGAATTAACACAAATGTATAAGGCTAGGAGATATTCCTCTACAGAAAACTGTTCAGAGGACACGAATGATTTTCAGACTGTTAATGACTTTGTGTAGTCATACTCCAAAATCACTAAGAAGAGAAATATAAATTACAACAACTCTGATATTTTATGTTACACTCAGCAAATCAGTAAAGGTGACAAAAGTTGGTCGTATTCTGTGTTGAAGACGCTAAAGGAAGACAGGCACATTAATAAGTCTGTAGTTGGAGCTGTGAATTGGTCCAACTCTTCTGGAAAACTGTATGGAATTTTATGAGAGGAATAATTAATTTTCTTAGCCTTTGACTCATCACTGTCACTACTGTGCACATACCCCAGGAAAATCAAAGACAGAAAGGTCCAATATATTCATTGCATCATTTATTGTGGTAACAGAGAACTGAAAGCAAAGTGGATACTCATAACATTGGGGAATAGGTGAGCAAACTGTAGTTTATGAATATAATGGAATATTTTTATGCAGTAAGAAAGAATAAAAATGGATTCAAAGAAATATGGGAAGGTGTATTTGAATTGATGCAAAGTGAAGTAAAACCAGAACATTATACCCAGCAACCACAGTAATGTAAATGAAAAGAATACTTTAAGGAAGTTGAACTCTTGATTAATTATAATAGCCATTCTTAGCCCCAGAGAACCAGTAATGAAATCTTCCTCTTCACAGAACAGAAGAGGAGTTTTGCCACTGTGTAAATTGACAAGTGAGGTCCCTATATCAATTGTTTTTCATTAACTGTTTTTCTTTGTTACAGGGAAGAGTTTGATTCTGAAGGAGGAGTGGGGTAACATGTGCAGAAATGACTGATGTAAAAAAAGGCATCAATAATTTTTTTTAAAGTAAAGAAGTGAAGGAGGTTGTCAAAGGGTTCAGCCCTGCTCTCTTACTTTTCACTGGCTTTCTGTTCTTTTCCTTATAGGATCCAGAATATTAGAAGTTATTTAGTCAACCTTATCCTTTGCATCTGCCAATGAATACTCATTCCTTTGTAGAGAGACTTTAGTGGATGTTAAACCAGGTCCTAGTAAACTTTGCTAAATGGGCTCTATGGTTCTGGACGAAGGGATTCCTAAATTTTGCCGTTCTTTCTCTCCAACCTCTGTCTCATTCTTACTGAAGGGCTAACTGATTCCTTTCTGGGTTATTTTCTATTAGAGAATAAGATATTATTTGTTAGAGAATTAGACCCATAAGGTCAGTTTTTTAGTATTCTACATCTTCCCTCTCTCCCAGTAGTAAACAGAAGATCTTAGGAAACAACACTAGATGTCTTCAACTATTCCCAAAGGGTGATGTTTATTTTTTTGCTCACTGTGACAAGGCTTAGTCCTGTCATAGACTATGTGTCAAAATCTGTCATACCATACACACACACACACACACACACACACACACATCAAGAAGGGAAAAGACAAAAGCAATTTACTCTGGAAGTACTTGGAGGAAGGGTGGTAGTTTTGGTGAAAGGGTTCTTTTTTTGTGGGAATTGAAGATGATGAGTGAAAAGGAGGTAGAGTAGATTTCTCATTAGCTTGGAATTGGTAATAATTTTTCTTTCTCTTGCAGTACTGAACTAGATTTGTAATGAAATGGAGTCTGGAACAAGTTCTTTTCGAGTGGAATTTCCTGATTTTTCTAGCACCATTTTGCAGAAACTAAACCAGCAGAGACAACAAGGACAATTATGTGATGTTTCCATTGTAGTCCAAGGACACCTTTTCAGGGCTCACAAGGCTGTTCTTGCTGCCAGCTCACCTTACTTCTGTGACCAGGTGCTACTGAAAAACAGCAGAAGAATAGTTTTGCCTGATGTTATGAATCCAAGGGTTTTTGAGAACATCCTTCTCTCTACTTACACAGGACGACTAGTGATGCCTGCTCTAGAAATTGTCAGTTATCTGACAGCAGCCAGTTTCCTCCAGATGTGGCATGTGGTAGACAAATGCACTGAGGTTTTAGAAGGAAATCCGACAGTCCTTTGTCAAAAGCTAAATCATGGCAGTGATCATCAGTCACCAAGCAGCAGTAGCTACAATGGCCTAGTTGAAAACTTTGAGCTTGGTGCTGGTGGACACCCAGATTTCCCTAAAACCCAAGAACTGAGAGATGGAGAGAATGAAGAAGAGAGTTCCAAAGATGAATTGTCATCTCAGCTAACTGAACACGAATATCTTCCCAGCAACTCCTCAACAGAACATGATAGACTAAGTACTGAAATGACCAGTCAGGATGGTGAAGAAGGGGCCAGTGATAGTGCCGAATGTCATTATACAAGGCCCATGTATAGCAAGCCCAGCATCATGTCTCACAAACGTTGGATCCATGTGAAGCCGGAAAGATTTGAACAGGACTGTGAAGGTGTTGATGTGCATGCTGCTTATGATGAGCACCAGGTCACTGAATCAATCAATACCATACAGACAGATCACTCTATCCAGTCTTCAGGGGTGGATGAGGACTTTCACATTGGTGAAAAAAAAGTTGAAGCTGAGTTTGATGAACAAGCTGATGAAAGTAATTATGATGAGCAAGTTGATTTCTATGGCTCTTCTATGGAAGAGTTTTCTGGAGAAAGAGCAGATGGGAATCTTAGTAGCCACAGACAGGATGCTATTATAGCAGCAGGCTATAGTGATAGCATTGAAATGGTGACAGGCATTAAAGAAGAAGCTTCCCACTTGGGATTCTCAGCTGCTGACAAGCTGTACCCTTGTCAGTGTGGGAAAAGTTTCACTCACAAGAGTCAGAGAGATCGGCATATGAGCATGCATCTTGGTCTTCGGCCTTATGGTTGTGGTGTCTGTGGTAAGAAATTCAAAATGAAACATCACCTTGTTGGCCACATGAAAATTCACACAGGCATAAAGCCATATGAGTGTAATATCTGTGGGAAACGATTTATGTGGCGGGACAGTTTTCACCGGCATGTGACTTCTTGTACCAAGTCATATGAAGCTGCAAAGGCTGAGCAGAATACTACTGATGTTAATTAAAAATAGGACGTGGATTCTTTTTAGTGGTGTGCACAAAAATAAACTATTATAATTATGCAAATTGTGTGCACAGATGATGTGTGGTACTTGCTATTATGAGACTAGCTTAAAAATTGGAGGATATTTCTGAAAGACTGTATGTAAGTAGGCCAATTTTTAAAGTCTAATTTCTCAAGTCAATATGCTTCAGTCCTGCCCTGAGAGTTCAGTCTCTGCTAACCCATCTCTCAGCTAACTTTTCAACCTTCAGGCCAGTTGTAATGTAGGTGGGCCGTTTTTGTTTTATTTTGTTTTTAATGTAGCCACCTGCATTTAGAACTGGGCTGAAAATGTAAGGTTTTTGTTTTTAGATACAACTTTTGGTCACTCATAACTTGGTCCTGTTAAAATGTTATTTTGCCTTTATTAATGAAACTTGGAGTAGACAGTCTGAATTTGTTTAGGTTAAATAGCTATCTCACCAGACAAATCCTGTGCTGTGTAAAAAGCTCAAATGATATGGCTCCTAGAAGGAGAAATTAAATAGAATTCTTTTGGTCTAAGTTTTATCTTTTGAAAGGGTATTTTAATTAAAACCTTGAAGGAGGATGCAAAGTAGGTAACATTCTAACTTGGTTCAATAGTAACATGGATGGTACAAGCTTCATTTTTTTTTTTGTGATACTACAGTAATGTGTATCAAATTCTTGATATAACCCACACAAGGTTTTATATTTTAGTATATTGAAGTTTAAAAAATTGTATCTAGTTGTGATTCACTAGGTGTAGAACTAGTTACCAGAAATTAGTATTTCTAATTGGCTTGATGTTCCAGTTCTTGTCCATGTGAGTGACTGGAAGCTACCACTCCAGCAGAGTCCCTAGGTAATCTACATATTGGACCTGTTGTGATCCTGATTATAAGTCTTATCTGCTGCTGCTCAGAGTTGTGGGCCTATTGCAAATAGTTGAGCTTTCTAATGAAAATCTGTCACTCGTAGGTAACAAGGAAGAAACAATTAAAGATAAACAGATATAATTACGGATTATAGTTAGGAGCCCTTGTGTTTCAGGAGTTGGTTTAATATAGCCTGGTAGCTATGAAGCCACAAAAAAAATAGAAACAGAATGCAGTGTGAGTGAGGCAGAGAAGAGCTGGTAACAAATTGTTTGGGTGGCACCTTGTACTCTCTGGTTCATTGTCATCCAACTTGAGCATTGGTACCTGTATAAAAGGAGGTGGTAGCTCTTTAAAACAAATAGATCCACATGAGCCCATAATGCAAGTCTTTTTAGAGGACTGGAAAGTATTTCAGAATGGAAAAGGAGGGAAAAAAAATCCTGATTTTAGAAGAGCAGTTTGGCGAGTCAAGCTCCCAAATTATACTGCTGCATAAATTAACAAGTCCACACATCTGTACATATAGAAAATAAAAAAGTGGCAGTTCTGAGATTTTTTTTTTCTCCCTATCAGTCTGATGTATTGGATTGAAGACTGCTTTTTAGAAAAGAAATAAATCATATTCTGAATATGTAAGCTCCGTGATATACCTAGATTTCTCATTGGGGTGGGACAGGGTGCTATAATTATACTAACTTCTTTTGACTCACTGGTTGATTGCTTCCAAATTTTAATATAAATGTTTTCATTTTGTAGGGAAAATAGCTTTTCCTTGGACTCTAACTGAAATTTGGTTTAAAAATTGGCTTTGCACAAATATGGTTGCCATTGCTGGCAATGGACTTTCTCAAACTGCTAACTCCTAAGAATTCAAGTTCTGAACACTGTATGTGGACAAAGGGAAAGTAGCTCATTCTTGTAATCAACATAATTAACAGGGATCTACTCACTAACACTGTATCCTTCTCAATATAGAAAAGCACTTTGTATTTAAATCTCTTTATACATATATTGTTTTTTAACCTAGAAACTATATATTACCTCCTAATTGATTGCCACATTAATACTGTTTCCTTAATATTGAAACATCTGCCAGTTGCCAGTCTTTTTCTTTGTTTACATGGCTGGAATTGTGTAGAGGTGACTATACAATCCAACTCAATTCTTTCCTACTCTTTGAAGTGGTCCTAGTCCTTCTGTGTGATGAGAAATTGCTTTATGACTCCCATTAATATTATTAATGATGTTGTGAAACAATTCTGCCAAATATCTTCACCCTCTACTGAGGTGTTAGCAAAGTATATTTCTTATCTAATTTGAAAGCTTTCCTTTACAAAATTAGGTTGGAAAGTTTTATAAGAATTTGAGCTAGAAAATACAAATATAGGGAATGCCTATCTTTCAGTTCTGTTCATTTCAGTGAAACAGTGTTGTCATGAGTAATTTGAAGATTTTTTTAGTCTATTCCACTACTTTCTTACTTAATCTCCAAACCCTTATCCTATGTCATCTCTGACATCAGTTTTGCAAAGATTTAATATGTTAACTGCAATTTTACCTTATTCAAATAGATTGATGCCTTTTGTAGGAATCCTGATGTGTATACCAACTGCTAATTTATAATTCTTATTTTTAAAATCCATGCTCAACTTGTCTGTTGTCCTGTGCTGTTTATATAAAATATTGAATTTCGTTTTAAAAAAATGGTATGGTAAGCAGATCAACCCCAGACACTCTTAGTGGGACCACTCTAATGCTGACCACATTCAGATAGCACAGAGTCTTCACCCAGCATGAGTTGGGCTGATGGAGGGGATGGGGTTGGTAGGCAGGGAGAAGCTTGGAGAAGAATGCTTACTATATATCTATTAAGAGAGAAATTTTGCAGACTTTACCTTTTTAAGATAAAGTAATTCTATCCCCTTTGGAATCCTTGTGTTGAGGATGATTACTCTCTCTTATTCTTTTTTTCTCTAGCTTCAGCACTGGTTTAGAAATATCTTTTTTCAAAATTATTGCACAGAAGGGAGTGGGAGAGGTCACTTAGAAAGCCTTCTGTAGATACGGTAGTGATATCATCCCCTCCAGTATAGACAGTTTTTGTTCAAGTCTTAGCTTGAGCTCTTCCCTCATCCTGATTTTTTAAAAAAGGCTCCACTTAATGAGGACTGTGAATGTTACATGACATTATTAATGCTAGCACTTATATCATGCTTTTAATTTTAGAAGCACTGACAGGACATAAAAATCATCTACTTCATAAGGTAGACATCACCATTTTACAAGGAAGGGAATTGAGGCAAAGGTTAAGTGCCTTTTCCCAAGGCCGCCCTGGGATCATGTGGGATTAACCTCAGGAGAACTTGGGTCCCAGCCCTTTGATTCTGACTACTAGACCAGACCTTTCTCAGTTCCCTTCTTATGGTCACCAGTTCAGAATGAACAGAAAAGAATTTATAACTGATGTCCCCTTGTTCCCTCCCCCCCAGCTTAGGGGTGATAACCAAGTTTTAAGGCTATTATTCTTGAAGAGCCCATTAGGATACTCCCCGAAACTCTGGGGTCTAGTTCTTCCCTTCTATGTGTGGTGTGCATTACCAGGTACTTTGGAAGTGAAATTGGAACGTGTGCACAAGAACAACATTGATACCTTTTCTTCCCCCAGGGCAAGAGGTACTACAGACTACATGTATAACGATTGAATAGAGTTCAGATACTGCCAAACCCAGGGTCTTAGTTTCATAAGGTCCACATTTTGATGACTTGGGAGTAGTAAGGAATGAGACTAAACCCATGCAGAATCTCCTCCAATATAATCTTAAGTGAATTTTATTTGACTTGTGCCACTAATATTTATTGAAGATGCTTTATTGGGGTTGCTAACTCAGAAGGTTCCATCTTTATTCAATGAAACCAGAGTTTTTCTCTGAAATGGCAAAGTATTTGCTACTTAACTATTTCAATGAATCTGTTTTTAATTTAAAATAACTATACTGAACAGTGCCCTGAGGGAAAATGCTGGAACACATTTCTTCAAATGTGATTTTTTTTTTCCTTGCTTGAAGCTTGTGTCATATGTCAGTTGTTGCTGCTTTGTTTCCTTTTTTATGGGGTTTCCAATATTTCTTCCAGAAATTTACTTTTATTTATGCAAGTCAGGTGAATCTTCCTTGAGCTACATAGTTTTATTCTAAGGAAATTGTCATTTAAGGTTGCATATCTTATTGATATTTTGTGAAATGTTATGCCTGTATTGCAAAGGTTGAATAGTTTTGTCTTTATATAATATTGCTGTCTTCATTGTACAGCATGGTTTGACTTAATTTAATGTTACTGTTTAATATTTTCTTCTTATAGAAGAGACCATGCCCTTTTGTATGACATGTTTTAATAAATGTTATCTGTCAACTTCGTAAAAGCTTTGTTTTGGGTTGATTATCTTTGATCTGGTGTGCCTTTGCTATTTTTCTGGGTTTTGCCATGTGTGAAAAAGTAAGATTCCTTTAAAAGTGCCAAGTTGATGGCAGTTATAGAGAGACCAATCTCCTCTCTCATCCTTGAAGACTACATATGCTTCTGTCCTGTTGCCTCTTCCAGTTACTCCTTCCAACTCCCCTCTTCCCTACGCTGCCCCCCCAGCCTCTCTGCTATAGCCCCCCCCGACCCCTTTCAGTTCTGCCCAGCCCCCATGACACCTTTCATAGTCCTGTCCCACAAATCCCCCTTTCGCTACACATAATGCTTCTAAGTCCTGCAATTACCCTCATACCACTTCCCCTTCTTAGAGGCAGCCGGTATCATATCAGATGGAGTGCAGGGCCTGGAGTCAGGAAGACCTGGGTTCAAATCAAGCCTTAGACACTAGCTGTGTGACCTTGGGGAAGTTAGTTAACCTCTGTAAATGAGGATAATACCTACCTTACTGGGTTATTGTGAGGATCAAATGAGATAATGAAAAAATGCTTAGCACAGTGCCTGGCACATAGTGGGTGCTATATAAATGTTTATTCCCTTTTCCTTCCCTCTCAGCCCTGGACACTATGCTTCTCTGCTTATTTCAGCCCACCCTCCTCACCTCTTATCGAAAAAAGCACTGTTCTTTAAATGTGGTTCAGACTGGTGAACCAGCAAATTATAGCACTGAGAGAGCCTTACTTCCCAGCAACAGCTCATTACAAGAGACACTGCTCATTTTAGACCTAAACTTATCATCATCCCACACAAACCTTCTGTTATCACTGTTGTTTGTTATAAACCTCTCCCCACCCTCTGAATTTTTAAATGGGCTGTAGATTGCCTGGGCTGGCTGTACTGTGTATGGTAAAGATATAATCTGGGTATATTTCCTCTTTGCTATCTGGTCAGTGAATATCTTTTTCTGACAGGCAGCACAGCCTTCCTGTCTCTAGCATGTACCCTTTGCCATTTCCTTTCTCTTCATATGCATTCCTCTACACAGTAACATAATAGGACCCTCCTGTTAAGTGGAGGGAAGCTTCTGGCCACTCAGAAATGTACATGTTTCAAGTCCACAGACATTAAGTGCCTCCTGTGTGTGTGGCACTCTGCTAAGGTCCTAGAGATACAAAAACAACGCATTCCTGTCCTTAAGGATCTTACATTCTACTAGGAGCTTAGGAGCTATGTACAGAGCTATAGTAAATACTAAGTGTAAAATGAAGTAAATTCAGAAAGAGTACCAACACCCCAAGGGATTAAGAACTGCTTCATGTAGAAAGGCAGCATTTGAGCTGTGCTTTGAAGGAAGCTAGGGATTCTGGGGGGTGGAGAGGGCTCAAATGTATAGGGTCTTGAGATGGAATACTGGCAAATAGGCCAATTTTGCTGGTGTGGAGTGACCATGAAGGGGCATAATGAGAAGTTACACTGGAAAGGTAGGTGAAAATCCTGCCTTTTCCTTAGGCTATGGAAATTCCACCACTAATCTCCATCGTGGTATAGCTATGATCCTATGGACTTGAAAGTTTGACTGGCTGGCAGAATGAAGCTCTGACAGTCCCATCAAATCTAGAGAGGCTTCAGATGCAGACCTGGTGATGAACTTTGGTTCTGTCATCCAAGGACAGATCTATAACCTACCCTCCTAAGTGCAGAGACTCATCACTAGAAGGGTGGTCACCAGAAGATGGATTTTGGAGGGGGGCAGTTCTAGGGGAGAATGGTATATATAACAATCTTGCTAAAACTTAGCTCATTCTTAGAGGGTTATAGAGTGGCATCATTCTGCTTCAGTAGAGGTAGTAAACATGTAGATGAATCACAGAACTTTAAAGTAATATGTTAACTGAAGCAAACCTGTATTAACTGCCTATTATCTTCAAGCGCTTTTATTTATGCTCCAGGCTGGGAGGAATACATTGAGATAGATAAGAACCCTGCCTTTGTAAGCTCTCAGTCTACTGCCAGGATAAAATACCACGCAGCACAGATAACACAAAATTGCAGGATGAGTACATTGGAAAGGTATAAGCAAAGAGCATTATCTGGTCTGAAAGTTGATAAGGCTACATACATACCCTAGTAAATAATGGAAAAATGGGAATATTGGGTGCAGAGGAAAAAGAACATGGTTTATTTAGCTGTCTTCGAGGTTCTTGCAGTGAGCACTTCACTTTTCTGCCAGCTGAGGTATACTTTCATAAAATAAATCTCACTTCCCAGAGGGTTAGTCACTTAGTAAAAGGCAATATAAGCTTTTAAAGAGAACTTGAGAGTCATCTAACACCTCACTTTACAAAGTGGGAAGGTGAGACCCTGCTAGAGGTAAGGACCTAAATCGGCTAGAATTCCAAGAGATCATCTAGTCTATTTTCATGTTACATCTGGGGAAACTGAGGTCCTGAGAAATAAAGTGACATCTAAAATTGCATATCTAGTAAGCAGAGCTAGGATTTGAACCTAAATTTCATGACTTCAGAACCAGTGCTTTGATATACAATGCTATGAGCAGAGAGCTCACAGCTCTGTAACTTGTACACAGTTGCCAACATCAACTTGGCTAAACAGAATGAAGTATGGGAGGCAGCACAGTTGAGTGAAAAGCGTACTGGATTTGGAGTCGGAAGAACTGAATTCACATAACGGACCCCTCTAGACCTTGAATAAATTACTTCCCCTTTCTAGGCCTAGGTTTCCTTTACTGTAATATGAGGGGATCTTTTATAACTCTAAAACCATGTAATTTCCTAATATAGTTGCTCAGCCTATATCAGTATAAAGTTTAGTTAGTGTGAACTTGATTTTTATATATAAATATCAGAAGTTCCATCTGAAGGCATGACGTGGTTTCCTAAAACATTTTTTCTAATGAACTCCCTCTGGTTAGTTTGGGAAAGTTGACACTCTTAGACTTTAGATTTTGGTAAATGAAGATGGAATACAAACTATTTTACAAATCCATTGATTCAAGATATTTGAAGAGAACAGAAACAAGAAATTCCAATATTAGTTTTTTATTGTAAACTGGTTTGATTGGCCATGCAAACTGGTCTTAACCATTAGCTATTAGCCACTTGTATTTGATTCCATTTAAAATCTAATATCTTTTTCACGTGCAGGTCGATAAGCCAGGCTTGTGATGCAAATAATTCTAGAATGATGAAGTAGTAGGAGAATTACAACTACACTTTGAGGGAGTACATAGGCAGTATGAAAATATGACAATTCACGGGGAGACTTTTATGTGAATACAGTGTTTTTGAAATTAGTGGCATTTTATTTCTACTATAGTGGTTGAACACTATTTTTTCCTCTTGTAATATTCCATACTGAGAAGCAAATACTGAAGCTATTAAATGTATTTATAACTTAATAACATATTAGTCACCCTCTAGGGCATGCTAGGCTGAGGCTTGCCTAAATTTTATAGCTAAACTACCATTAATTGGGGCCATGGCCCCAAGGGGAGCG